TCTTTTAAGATCTTATTTATTTGACAGAGACACAGCCAGAGAGGGAACACAAGCAGGGGGAGTGGGAGAGCGAGAAGCAGGCTTCCCGCAGAGCAGGGAGCCGGATGATGCGGGGCTCGATCCCAGGACCCTGGGATCATGACCTGAGCACAACCCCCCCATTTTTTTCCCTCCAGAATCTACATTTTGAACAAGGTCCTTGGCAGATTCTTACACATGCCTTGTGGGAAACACTGACCCGCCACTAGACACTTCTCTTTCTCCCATCACTCGGGTAAATCCCGACTGGCCTACTAATCGTTGTAGTCACCTTTCCCTTGCCAGGGTTTGGTGTGGAGGTAGGTATGTTGACAGGGTTCTGGCCAGAAACAGAGCGAAGTCCTGCTGGACAAGGAAAGAGTCACGTCTTCCCGAGACAACTGAAATGGTGACAGCCAGGTTACAGCTGGACGAGAAAGCTGTTCAATATAAAGCCAAGGGTAGAAGGTGGCAGAAGGGACAGGGAAAGAGGAGACAAGATTATGGCGGTTACTGCTGGATGAACCAATCCTGGAGCCGCTCTGTTTTGGGAGTACTCGTTTTGAGAAATAGTAAATTTCCTGTAATGTTTAACAGTACGAAAAAATATATACAGGATATAAACAATAAGCCGGGTGGAATGTTCTGTCCTGCAACCAGGACAAAATACTACAGCGATCCAAAAGGCAAGCATAATACAATTCTTGGATTTCAGCACGTGTGGGGACAAGAAAACTAGCATCTACCATAAACCTGCTATATCCCAAGCACATTCTCAGGCTACGAATTTAATCTTTGTAATGCCACTGTGAAACTTACTTTCCCCCTTCAACAGGAAAAAAAGAATCACTAAATAAGCTGTCTAATGTCAAGCAGCTAAGAAGGCTTGTATCCAAAGACCTCTGCACTCAAGTCTTCAACATGGGTTTTAAGCACTGGCCTGACATCTTGGTTGGGAGCCAAAACCCATAAATATACTTCAGAATTCTAGATTATAATTTCCAGTGCTACCAGAACTCAGAAGACTGGTTTAAAGGACTGGAAGTCAATTTTGACGTCCTACATCTCATGCCCTGTCATCCCCTAGATCAATCTGGTGAGACTCCCTTCAAACCTCATGAGCCTCCCTTCAAACCTCTTTCAGATGTTGGGCCCAATTCTATTCCAAGTCCCTGTCCCAGACACCTCATCGATGTCTGGTCCCTCCTCTAATTTAGCCCACCACTATTTCCCAAGCTTGTGACTGGCTTCCAGTCCTCCTAAACACACACGCCCTGGGTCTCTTCAACGTCCCCCACTCACCGTCTTATGGAATCACCCACCAGGAACCTGTCTCACTATTTCTTGTCCAAACTGTCCTTAACCTGCTTCCAGACCTTTGTTCATGCCAACTTTTCCCTGCCCGAAACTCCCTCTGCCTTCTGGAAGTCCACCAAGCCTGCTCCTCATGATATCCCAGGGAGCCCCCTCTTCCTCTGAATTCTACAGGGCTCACAACCTGTACAACGCATTCTCGTTCTTGCACACTCAGATGCTGTTCCAAGCATCAACTTAATTGAACTCAAATATTGACTACAGGACAAGTAGCATGACAGACATTGAATATAAAAAAGCAAAGAATGACTGGATGATTTTACTGTGTAGGGACAAAGAAAACACAAAGGCTTTCACTGTACCAAGGGAGGCATGGCAATAGAGGTGGGACGAGAATCCTGAAATCAGAAAGGAAACAGTCCTAACCAGCTTGAATGTTCGTAAGTCCGAGTGAAGTCTGAGGACAGCGGACTTGGACTTGTGTATATTCTCCAGTGCCTCGCCCAGCGTTTGGCTTGTTTTCAATTAACTAGTTGACAGATAAATAACTCCTGATTTTCAAGACAACCTGGTACCCTTGGCAAAGGCTCCCACTTCAAAGTAAGGAGAGTGATATTTGGGAAAATTGCCCAGAAACTGCCCTCAGCTAATGAATGACCGGTCAACCAACAAGTATTATTGAGAGCCTGATTTATGCACTGACCTAGACATTGTGGGAAAACAAAAAATAGAAGTAGTTCTTGTCCTGAAAGACTTTGTTGAAAAGATTAAATAATTAGCTCCTAATCTTGCTATGTTCAACAGGAAGCCCTTGCTTCTAGGCTCCCTACCTCAGCAACATTTGATGCCATAAGAGGGTCTAACCCCAATCCCTCTTGGCTCTCCATGCACGTTTTATGAGCTGGATCCTGGTTATCTTTAGGGTCCCAAAGAACCTCATTGGTTTCCCGTCCTGGGAAACTGCTATTGTAGAGGATATGTGTATGCACTCTGCAGGCACTCTGGCCTCAGTGGGCCTCTGATCCGTTTACTTTGACCGTCTTAGCTCTTCTGACAGAGACTTCTCCTGGGTTCCAGGACTGAGTCAGTGAGCTTGGGACTTCATGTGATAAAAAGATATAGGTGAGAAGAGCTTCACAGCCAAGAGGAGATGGTATATTTACTTACAATTAAAAATAAATGGTAAAGATATATATTGGCCAAAAGGTGTAGGAGTCATTTTTCCTCCAAAACTTGTAAGGGCAGAATACCAACCTGAGGAAAGAGAGACTCCAGATATTCCCCACCCCCACCCCCAACAAAGGGATTGGGGGCAGGGGAAGGGACTGCTTCCTCCTTGGAGTCAAAGAACAGGATCTATCAGTCACTTTAAGTGACAAGAAAAAGCAGCAAGCCCTCTCCTGGTCTAAAAACCCCATATGAAATAGGAGTGCCAGAATCAAGTGCCAGCCACCTTGGTTCTTCTGAAGTCTCTGTTCCATTGTCTCAGCTGACCTAGCAAAGCCCTGACATCAGAGTGTCTCATCTCCGTGGTGCGCAGGCTGGGGGCTGGAATGACGTCAAGAGAAGGGCTGGCCAAGAAAGACCAGTGGGTCTGGGAAATGCTTCCCCTGCCCAGCCAACGGGAAGCTTTCCCAGATGCTGGGATGCACCGTCCTCCCTCACCCCCATCCTCCGCCCCCTGTCCCTCAATGCCCGCCTATCACACACAGCTTGGTTCATTTTCAGGAAATTAGATCCTACCAGCAAGAGGAAGAGGGGGATGGGGGACGCTCATACACATGCTGTCCAAACCCTGCCTTAAAACAAAAGCCGCTTGGAAGAATTCATCCAAGATCTGACAGGGGTCTGCTCTCAAGAAGGGTTTTTTTTCTCTTCTTTTTTTCTTTTCCTTTTTTTTTTCCTAACTAGCCAGCTTACCATACTGAGATAAGGCCAGCTGCAAGCGCCCCCCCCCTTCCCCCTTCTCCAGAAACTCCATGCCTTGGAACAACACGGTTAAAACCCCAAACCCATTGGAACGTATTAGTATCCCAAACCAATACCTTTTGACTGACCGGCTCAGAAAGGCCCTTCTTTAAGGTAGCTTGGGTGGAGTCAGCCCCAAGCCCAACCTGTATCACCTGAAACGCCAAAAAGCCTCAGGTGAGATGGATTTAGCATCACTCCAGGCCCGGGAGGGTGGGTAGGGAGTGGGGTGGAGGAGTGACTGGGCAAGGAGGTGCGGCCACCACCCAGGCTCGGGCGCGGGTGCGGTAATCTGGCCTCGGGGTCAGAGAGCACGGCTCCCGCCGGCCTGGCCCTGCACCCAAAGGTACCCGGGCGCCGAGACATCTGCAAGGCTTTATCAACCCAGTAAAGACACGCTCTTTAATCTGGCGTCTTCCACAAACAAAAAGCCCCCTAGCAGCGAGTGAGAAGCCAACAAAGACACAGAAGGAGCCGCCCCCGCGCCCGGTCCCGCACGCTGCATTGTATACATATTTAAAATAGCCTGCAAAGTTCCAGGCCGGGAACTTGAGCTCCCTCTAGGAGATCCCCACCCGAGCGCGGATTTAATTCTCCTCCGACAACCACAACAAAGACCAGAGTTTGAGCGCACAAAGGCAAGGGAACGGGGTAGAAGAGCGAAGCCGCGACACAAAGGCCGCGAACCCCTCGGCTCCCACGCCCCCCGCCCGCCGCAACGTTCAGAGACGGTCCCGGGCCTTGTGATTCTTTTTCTTTTTTTTTTTTTTCAAATTCCGCGCTGTGCTGAGCCGAGTTGGGCGCCAGGACGCTTTCTCGCACGTCCCATTTCATGAGAAACTTAGCTCAAGAGGAAGAGCGCGAGCCGTCTGTCTGATTTCAAGCCTTGCGCCCCACCTCGTCTGCGGCCAGCCCAGCGTCCGCTCGCCCTCCCGGCCCGGGGACTCACCGTTACACCACTGGAATGGGTGCATCAATGAACTCTCGGCTGGCTTCCTCCGGCGAACGAAGGGAGGCGGCGGGTAGGGCAGGTGGGGTGGGCGCACCGGCTTTCGGGTCCGCAGGAGGGGCCGGTGTAGCCCCTGGCAGCCGCCTTTCTGGAGAAACCGAACTCCCTCCTGCGCGGCGGGTTTGGGCTTAAATGGTTTTAGAGCAACAAAGAGGGAAAAGGAGAAAACAGACAGAAAGTCCCCTGGATCAGTACACCACAGAGGAAATACAGGAAGGGGCCCCGGGCTGGGGGGAGATGCAGCGCGCTGCAGAACAGGGTGGGGGCGCCCAGTTCGCCCGCCGAGGAGGGAAAAAGCTTCAGCGGGAAGCTGGGCTCAGGATCCCGGAGACGCGAAGGTGAACAGCCAGGACTCCGAAACTGACACGGGCTGCGCACACCCCCCTCCCTTTTACTCCCCCCGGGAAACTCCGCCCCGCGCCCGTCACCCGCCCTCCGGCCAATGAGAGCCTTGCTGCTGGCCCCGGGTATTCTTTGCAGGCCCGCCCCCCTCCGAGGGGAGAGCATCTTTGCACCGTGGGCGCCTCCCGCTTCGCCTTCCCCAGTCCTCGGGAAACTTAACTCTAAAGAGAAGCGAGCCGCGCGGTGCGGTGCTCGGAGCGCGCGGGGGCCGGCCTCCTCCGCCGAGGACCTGGAGGAAACGGAACAATTAACTGCCACATTGTTTTCCGCCTTCAGAGTTGCTGCTGTTTAGCATTTCCATTGCTCTCTGAGAAGCCAGTTCTAGGGAGGCGTTACATTTCTGCTCCGTGGGCAAGGACTTGGTCCTGGGTGGCGGCTACCACGTTCCTTTGCTCAATGGAAATGGAGGAACTGGAGCAAGAGAGGGAAGCAGACGAATTACAAAAGTGAGATCTGGAAAGAGCTCGAGTTGTCCTCTCATTTTTGGTCAGCCCCTCGTTTCACAAACAAGGAGCTAAGGCCCGAAGGTTAAGTTTAAGGTAGACTTATCAGGGCTCCACGCTCCTGAGTAGCAGAATCAAACCCCGGAATCGACATTGGCAATACCTTACGGGCAGTATCTTCAGCATCTAGCACCACGTAGGTGTTGAAATAAATAGCAGTTGGAGGAAAGACTGAATCTCTTAAACCCCCCCCCCCATGCTTTCTTTTTATCTGATGTTGCATCGCTTGTTTATTTCTATCTTGTCTGTCTTTCTGTCTTTCATTTATTCAGAATGTATTCACTGTGAACCTACTTTGTGCCAAGCACTGTGGCTCAGGGGACCCATCAAGGTCATCGGAGTCAGCGGGGTTCTACTCTCCCGTGATTTTCAGTGCCTGAGGAGACAGACAGTAAACAAGCAAGCAAACAAATAAGAATGACTCAATCTCATCTTTCAATTAAGCTTAATCTGTTAATTGAAGGTGATAAACACTTTCCCTAACTCTTGGGAATTTGTGACACTCAACACAAGATTATGCATATGAGTGCTTTGTCATTTAAAAGCATGGTGGTTAAGGTATTAAATAACTTGGCTAAAATCACAGAGCAGTCTGGAACAACTACTTTAGCACTTAATTACGTAATTGTCTTAAAACAATTGTTTTTTCTTATGAGCCGTTCTTGAGGATCGGAATCACGTACAGATCCAGAGCATTTCATCTCTTAATTGGGCAATTGCAAAAGCTTCCTACCTGGCCTTTCTGACTCTAGTCTAGGCCTCAGACTTTAGAGCCCCTGTGAATCACTTCTGTTTAGAGATGCTACATATGCAGACTCCGAGGCCTGGAGCTCGGAGATTCAGTAGTTAAAGGGTGGGCCCCAGAATGCCTTGTCTCCACCCTCCCCCATCCCTCCGCTGCCAAATTCTCTAGCAATTATGCAGAGAAATAATGCTCTGATCTTACTCTCAAATCCGGCCTCTCTGCTGGGCCAGCGTTATCTTACTAAAACTTAAACCTGGTCATTTACTTCTCTTGCTTGATAACCTTTATTGGTCCCTGTTATTTACTGGATAAAGCCAAATTGTAGAGTGTCCCATTCAAATGGTTTCAGTCTGGCCTTTGCCTGTCTTTCTAATGCCAAATATGCTCTTTTTCCTCACATACTATTGGTCAGCCACAAAGCTTTTGTTGTTGTCCCTTGAACAGAGGATATTCTTTCTTGACTGATTTTGTACACGGTATCACTTATGTTTGAATGCCCTTTTTCTTTCTGTGCCTGACATTTTGCAAGATTCAGCTAAAAATACACCTCTTCTGTGGCTCACCATTGTCATCATCCCTGTCTCGGCATCTCTTTCAACACTTCATGTACGATGTAGTATGTTATGGGATTATAAAGATAATTCGATGATTTCCTAAATTTGAACACTTCATGAGTCCTCCTTAATAAGAGATTTTTCAAGGGCATGAACCACTTTTGTGGTTCCAAGTGTCTGGTCCAATAAGTATTTTTGGAATAGATTTATGTATGTGCATGTATATAAATAACCATACAATTTAAGCCATGTTCTAGGAACAGTGTTGAGGATTTAAACATGTGTATAATTGTTACGCAATAATTCTTTCTATACATTGGCTCAAGAGAAAGGTGTTGATAGGTGAGCCTGATTGCATTAAGTTCCTGCTAGGTGCCTCTAGGGCACAAATTTTCCAACTTTGAAGGAAAACTTGACAAGAAGTGAGAAATACTTCTTCTTCCCACCCTTCCTAGACTAAAGAGAGCCCCAAGGGGGAAAGATGCCTTGAAGGTAGGAACAGCAGGAGTTCTCATGGGGAATAGAGCTGGTCAATCAGGACAGTGAACGTCTAGGGTCATACCTACAAGGACCATGAATTCGGTCATCAGACACAATGTTCTATAACAATTTATGTTCTAAGCCTGATATTTTAAACATTCAGTAAGGTCTCCGGAGGCACTAAAGGACTCTAATTTGGCAAGCCCAATGCATCCCTTTCCAGTTCCTCACCCTCAACCTTCCTTGGCCATTGTGGCCACAGGGCTGTGCCTCAGATGATGGCATAGACTGGGGGAGATATAGGTTGAAGGGCTTTGGTCTTGCACACATCCTTGAAAAGACTGGTTCAGTCTCCCAGCATTTCCTAGACCAAAGGTCTTACCAAAGACAAGCTGATTTCCCACATTGTGTCAATACAATTTAGGTAACTTACCCCTGCTCCCCCATCCAGATGATGGTTCAGACCCTCAGCCCCTTGTGAATCAGGAAGACACATCTGGTTATTTCATTGAGGAAGACATTGAAACAGTGAAGAAGATGATGGATTATATAGTCGAAGTTACTTGAGGAATCTGAAGTAGAATGTGTTTCTAAATCTTCCATAGAAAGAGGGAAAGGAAAGTTTTCTTCCAGGAAAACTTCTAAGGAGTCAGGGGTTGTCTTTATCCCTACTGTCCTACCCTAACATCTTCTTAGACACGCCAGGAGCCCCCCCCATTTTAAGGCCTTGCAAGCACCAGAGAACTACTTTGGGGAGAGACAGCTAATTCTGTGGAGGAGCACGGGGCCAGAAGACTTGATCATCCCATTTCACCTTCAGTAAGAGTCTCTCTTCTATGGTTCTCCAAAGCCAGCCATAAGATATGGAAGAGAATGCTAACCATGGTGGTAATTAAGTGATAATTAAGGGGTGCCTGGGTCCTGGGACCTGGGTCTTGGCCACTCAGGTCATGGGTTGTGGGTGGTGACTTCGAGCCCCATGTTGGGCTCCAAACACAGCTTGGAATCTGCTTGGGATCCTCTGCCTCTCCCTCTGCCCATCCCCCATCTCTCTCAAATAAATAAACAAATAAATAAAAATAAATAAATAAAATCTTAAGAAAAGCTGATAATTAAATCCAACTAACTGTTTTATTTCTTAAGAGAAGTTTGCATGAGAGGATCACATGATTCTTTGAAGGCGTTGAGAGTTGTTCATTGTATATTTGGGCAAATCAGATCCTTCACTCATTTTATTCTTGAGAGATCTGGCCTTCCTCTGTCCAGATACCCTAGAGGTCTCAGTACCAAGATGCTTTTCAGGGATTGATACAACTCTTGATGAAATGTGTTCATAATTTCCTTCTTTCCCCAGGAAAGTGAAGCAGCAATTTCCTCACCCTGTTCTCAGCTCCTGACCCACATGGGAAATCCATGGAGGGGGCAGAAAGAAAGGGAGAGAATCTCAAGCAGCATCCACTGACACAGGGCTCAATCTCATGACCCTGAGGTTATAAGTTGAGCCGAAATCAAGAGTCAGACGCTTAACCAACTGAGCCACCGGGCACCCCTGTGATGCTCTTCGTAAGTATCAAAGGAGGCTGGAAGGAAACAGAAGCTAGGGGGGTTTAGGGCCCTATTTTTCCTAGGAATTATACATAGTTCTGCTGTGTCTCTGGGTTTCTGGAATGAAGCTGATGTTTTAGGCCACAGCTGAACCATCTCATGTGTGCAAGTGGAGATAGGATAATAAAGTAGACGGGAGGAGAGTCACACCTCTGATTAACCACCCACCGCATGCCAAGCCCTGTGCCCAGTGCTTCGTGTATTTTCCTTTATTCCTCACCACAACCCTCCAGGTACTATTGTTTTCTCCTTGCCTATAGGATAAAATGGAAAGCCCAAGAAGGTTAGATCTTAGCAAAAATCACAGAACTCTTAAGTGTTAGTGACAGATTTCCAACCAAACTGACGTCTCTCTCCACTAAACACGCCTTTTCCTCAACACTGGTACAGTGGTTACGAGTGAAGTCTCTGGAATATGGCCTGGTGTGAACTCTGCTAACCCTCAGTTTCCTTACCTGGAAAATTAGGGCTAGTAGTAGAATCTACCGTAGAGGATCACATTCGGAACAATGCGTGATAAATGCTTGGCATATGACAGGAACAACAACAACAAAAAAAGCCCCTAGTAAATGTTTTCTTATTATCATTAAACTACATCCTGAAGTCTCAGGGCTCAGAAGGGGCACTGGACCAAAGAGCCAGTATGTCTAGTGTATTAATTAGGATGCAGGCTGGGTCCCTGGGGTGGTTTTTGAAAACATGTCCACAAATTCTTTAATATTCGTCCCCTGAAAAGGTGGAGCCTAGTTCCCATCCCCTGGAGAGTGTGCTGGGTTTGTAGACCTTCGAACAAGTAGAATGAAGCAGAGGTGACAACTCCTGACTTTGGAGACTGGGTCATAAAAATGCACTGCAGTTTTCTTCAAAGACACTTACCTACAGAAAAGCCATGTGGTGGGGACGGTCTCTGTTAACAGGGAAGTCTCTGTTAACAGCCATGTGAATGAGCTTGGAAGGAGATACTTTGCTTTGGTCAAACCTCTAATGACTTCGGGGCCCAGCCAACACCCTGGCTGCGACCGCAGGAGAGATCCCGAGACAAAAAACCACACAGTTCATTCACACTGAATTCCTGACCCACAGAAACTATGAGACAATAAATTTTTGTTGTTTTAAGCCACCGAGTTTTGGGGTAATGTGCTGTTTAGCAATGGACAAATAATACAGCTATTGTAGCAAAGAGACATAAAAATGCAGAGACTCAAAAAAATCTAGTTTATTTCTGTCTTGTAAATATTCCAAGAAAAGGAGGGGCAAGGCAAGGAGGAAGTTCAGCTTTCCAAAGCCATCCAGAGACTCAGGTTCTTTTCTCTTGCCACTTGGCCTCATCCTGAGATGTGTTCCTTGTTCATCCATTAGAAGCTGGCTTGCCAGTTATGTATCTTATGTTTCAACCCCAAGGGAGGGTATGAAAGAGTGGGGAGACAGCGTCTTCTCTGTAAGAAATAGAGCATTACTCTTGTTCCCATCCCATTGGTGAGAATTTAGTCATATGGTTCCACCTAGCTGCAAAGGAGGCTGGGAAATGGAGTCTCTGGGTGGACAGTCATGAGTCCTGCTGAAACTCAGGGTGGTTCTATTAATAACAGGAAGAAGTGGAGAATGGAATTGAATCTAGTGGACGATGAGTGGTCTCTTCTACCCAGGTCCTGGTGTTGGTGCCTTCTCTGAGACTTTCAATTAGTTACCTCTCCAGGGCTGCTTTCTCATTTAGAAAGTGAAGAATCCGATGAGATTGGTGGATTCCAACCCCCCCCCCGTTTTTTTTTAGCAGAATCTTTTTATTACATATATTTTAAAACAGAAACTGCCTGCATAAAAGAAATAAAAACAGATCTGCTCTGTTTGAATTACCATGGGGTGTCTCTCCCTGAGCATGCTCCCACATTGGTGGCCCCATGAAAAGTTATTTGAAATGCTGGGGCTCTGTGAGGCATGGTCAGAAATCCACCAAATGAAAAATGCTCCTGGATTCCTTCCAGTTCTGGTGTTTTTGAGGTTGTGATCATCCACCTGTGTGTCCTGAGCTGGGCTGGATCACAGCCTTGTCTTGCGTGGCAGCTGGGAGTTTGCCGGACCTGCGTGCATTGGCAGGGGACACACCAGAATGAGCTTTTGCTCTGGGTGTCAGGCCTCTCCTCACTTCTTTGACTCCTTTCCTTATCTTGTACCATATCTCTCCTTTCTCCTAATGCAAACAAGTGTCCTCCCATCCCTGGGCCAGGGGCCAAGGTGCCGTGCAGCTAGGAAGGAGTGTTCTAAGTTGCCAGTACAATTTATCCTTGTGTTCAGTCCCACAGGTGGGGATGTAGAGATTCTTGAAGCAGACTGTCTTCCTCCCAGATTAATATTTCTTTCTTTCTCCTTTTCTTTCTTTTCTTTTTCTCTCTCCCTTTCTTCCTTCCTTCCTTCCTTCCTTCCTTCCTTCCTTTCTTTCTAAGATCTTATTTATTTGAGAGAGAAAGAGAGAGCACTAGCAGGGGGAGCCGCAGAGGGAGAGGGAGAAGCAGACTCCCTGCTGAGCAGGGAGCCCAAAGTGGGGCTCCATTCCAGGGCCCTGAGATCATGACAGGGGTGCAAGGCAGCCACTTAACCGACTGAGCCACCCAGGTGCCCCCCACCCCCAGGTTAATATTTCTACTGCCCCTCTTGCCTGTCCTCTTCCCAGCTGCCATTGGCCTCAACTGGGATTAGGAGCTCAGGTTCCCTCAAGGTTATAAGTGGTGGATGTGGACTTGCCCAGCCCTGACCCAGTTTGTGAGTGAACTCCAAAGAGCAACAGGGAGAGGCCCCTCCTCTCTGATTTTTCCCTACCCAAAATAATCCCACAATTCTCAAAAATATAAACTGCCTCAGGGAAAGTTACCTAGGGGGAAGAGAGTTCCTTTCTTTTAGTCTGCAGACCGTCAGAACGTGGCTGATAAACATTCCTTTCCCTGCTGCCCAAGGTCACTTTCTACTTGTTTCCACTGGCTTAAGATTCCTTCCTGAGAGACTGGCTGTGCTCACCACCTTCTCCCAGGCCACCTCCAGATGCTAAACAGGAATTGGGCAGAGGGCTTAAGTGTCTGCCAAATCAAGGGGACAATCCTAGGCCATTTCGAAGGCTAGTGACCACTGGCCACAAACAGAACATTCCAAGAATGGCTGGGATTGAAGTGGTGATTGGGAAGAAAGGAGGCAAGGTGGACCGCTCTGGGCTTCTTAGGATAAGGAATATCTTACATTCCTGGGCAAGACGTTAGGACCCCGTGGGGTTGGTTTAGCACAGGGGCTGCAGGCAAATGATCTTAAGGAGTGAGGCAGGTCCAGGGTTAGAACATACATCGTGATGGGTCATAATGAACCGGACAGCAGGTGGTACCTCATCGAAACGGGGCAGCCCCCAATCACCACGGTCAAGTGGAGACGTAGGCTCACTATCCCTTTCAACTTTTTTTTTTTTAAGATTTATTTATTTGACAGAGAGAGACACAGCGAGAGAGGGAACACAAGCAGGAGGAGTGGGAGAGGGAGAAGCAGGCTTCCCGCTGAGCAGGGAGCCCAATGTGGAGCTCGATCCCAGAACCCTGGGATCATGACCTGAGCCGAAGGCAGACGCTTAATGACTGAGCCACCCAGGCGTCGCTGTCCCTTTCAACTTTTTAAGAGAAACTAGACATCCAAGTTTGGTGGAACATTTCCCCGGCGTTGACACATGGCACAGAACACGGAGCACCCTCTGCGGGCAGGTTCAGCTCTCCGGCTGCCACTTCGCTTACCCCTAAGGGCAAGCCCTTCCCGCGTGAATCTTTCTCCCTCCAGTGTGTCACCAGCTCCCAATTTAAAACAAAAACAAAACAAAACAAACAAAAAACCCAACGAAACCATGTTGGAGATTAGTCTCAGCATTTTGAACCAGTGGCTAGATGTTCACATGGGAAGGTCTTCATGGAGAGTCCAGGGGCTTATATTCGTTTCCCATTGTGTTGAAACAAATCACCCCAAACTGAATGGCTTAAACTGAATGGCTTAAACAATGTGAATTTATTATCTTACGGTTTTGTAGATCAGAAGTCTGACACGGGTCTCATGGGGCTAAAATCAAGCCCTGTCTGCAGGGCTATGTTCCCTTCTGGAGGATCAGAGGAGAATCCACTTTCTTGCCTTTTCCCGGCTTCTAGAAGCTGCCGGCATTCCTTCCTTCCTGACCCAGCAAGGGGGTTCAGCCCGCACATCAAATCTCTCATTACAGCATCAAAAGGTTCTCT